GAATTTTTCGTTTCGTTTTGCTAACTTGCGTCGATATCAGACGCGACATATTTTTTATCCAACAATAGTGAAACTTTATTTCAGTTTCATCATTGTCATCTGGCATTGGTGCTGTATAATCATTCAGTTTGGGAAAATAATGGTTTTGTATTAATAGCAAATTGACATGACGTTCTAATTTACTTTTAGCGAGTCTCACGGGTACTACCACATAAGATGAACCTTTGGTGGAAAGATTCAATTCCAACGCATAAACGTTTACAGATATATTATTCAATTTCTCAAATTTATTTATACGATTCAGTTTCATTGGTATTTCTAAACCTTCAGTATTCAATACTAGACTGTAATGCGGATAGGAAGTTGTATAGCGATTATCTCCTGTGGGTGGATATAAAGCACTAACTATACTCCAGAAGAAGCATGCTTCATCATCATTCTGAATGTTGATACATGCTTTCTTTCTTGAAATTTCTAATGGTATTTTGATAAAAGATGTTCCATTACCAATTTCATATTTGTTTATTGCAACTTCCAACAATAGAATTTTTTGTAATGCCCAACCGCTCTTTTCTTCAGAAAACTCAGACAATTTATTTAAAATGTGATCAACAACATGTTCTTGATACCACACAATGAGATCCGTCCCTTGATCTAAAACTGCATTCGGTGAAATGAAATATTTTTGACTAATTATTTCCTCATCATTTGATTTTTTCACAAAATCACCCCAAAAACAGGTATTTACTTTCAAAGCTGGCATTTCCTTTAGAATTTTGTTGATAATTTTTTTAAACAAATGAAATCCATCAGCAAAAAATGCTTTTATTTCTTTATGCTTTACATTGATGATGACTCCTGTCTTTACTCTGTTATTGAAACAAGAATTGACATCCTCCCAATAAACCTTACGCTCCTTCCTCGACCTCTCATTTTTATTTTTCAACTTAATTAAACACTTTAATCGTTTCAATTGTCCAATTTTTGAAATTATTTTACTTTTCTGTCCAACTTTGAGTTTTAACTTATCCAAAGCTTCATTACACTTTTTTATATGTTGATTGATTGCTTTGATTGAACTCCTTTCAGCGGAATTGCCTTTGATCAATTTAAGCGTTTCATCAATTTTTGACATTGTTCCTCTGAATTCATCCATAATGTATCACTAATTATTTATAAAAAAAGTAACTCACCTCTAAAATTTATTTCAATTCGATTATTTCGAAATATGTGGCAGGATGAGGTTTCCCAACGTTCTTGGTCCCCCTGAATACTACAGCATACTTCCCCGCTGTGAAGTATCGAATATTTGGCTTGTACTCCTGGGTTACTCGTTGGGGCAGGAACACTATGTTTTTCTCTAGTTCAAGTATGACCGTCTCCCCATATTTAGTATTCACTATTTTAGCTGAGTATATCGTATTTGGTTCACCCACAACCAAATCTGTCAGCTTTGTAACTGCCTTATCTGTTTCTAGAAGAGAGATTGAGTTCATTGCATTAAGATCCATCTATAAAAAAAAACACATACATAATAGAATTTATTTGTTTTACTTCGGAGGTTCTTTGTTAGAGGTTTTTGGTCGTGGAATTGTTGATATCAGAGGAATTATTTTCTTTTGATATATAATTTACTTGTCCTGTGCAATAGTATATGTGGAATAGTGGAACAAGGAAAATGATAGGAGAAATGATATTATTAATAAAGAATAACTCACCTTTGATTGTTACTGCTGACACTATACACTCAGATAGATACTCTGATAGTAGTTCTCGATTTGTGAACGTTATTTCTCTCTATATATACTGTTCATATTACCTTCCATATTCTCGTGATTGTTCAGACATTCACTAATCGTACAAACCACATTCTCTTTTGTCATTGACTTTCTAATCTGATTCAACTTTGAATAGATATTGCTCATTTGGAAACGATTCGTAGGATTCTTCATTCAAAATAAATATCTGTTGTTCCAATGTATATTTTGAAAAAGTTTTTGAATAAACTTATTCATTATTATAATTATTATTATTCAAATCTTCAAAAGAAATATATAACAGACTATGTATATTATTTAAGAAAAATTGATAATCATGCAAGCTGAATTACTCTCAGAAATATCTCATATATTACCCATCATAAGCCAAATATAGGTAATGATTTTGAATTCTGATAATAGCCCATGAGAGGAACCAAACATATTTTATTGTTAGGGTCTTCAAATAATAGTGAAGATGAATATTTTAGCAACACAAAAAGAGGCCGTATAGACTAGCAAAACATATTAAATATTGAAAACAGTATCAGTAGCGACACCTCGCGGAATTAGGTTGAAGCGTAACACATACGAGTGGATTCTTCAAAAAGACCTCTGTAATAGGAGAAGGTAAGCATAGCAAACAGTTTCCACTCACATCCGAGTGAGGGCACTAGCAGTACCGTAAAATCAAATCTATGTAGAACATAGAAATATTTACTGAAACTCATTCATAAGCCTAATATATTTATTTAAATTGCTCATATTGGCCCAATGAAGCAAAATGAACCCCCCCAAATATCCATATACCCATCCATATGTCGAAAATCCATACTCATGGACCTCCAAAAAATATCTCTCGAAAACAGGGGGACAAGTTGAGTCGTACCTACACTTGCACGTTGATAAATTGGACCCCCCATAGCCACTTGGTAACGTGTCGGCTTGCCAACCCAGAGATCCAAAGTTCAAATCCTATACGGTATGATTATCTTTTTTTAATTAAATAAAATTATTAAGTGAACTGAACGTTATACGTCATAATGAATGTAATAGGTTTCCATTAGGCGGGCCAACTGCCAAAATTCCCTACAAACCGCATTGTTTAACTACTTTAATATAACTCACGTAATTGAATATGTGGAAGATGCCTACTGAGAAAACCACTATACGGACAGGAGGCGGATATGTAGCAATCTAGTTACGGACGTTGAAAATATTATTCAGGTATGTCTCAGATTCAACATCTATGTATTTCGTCTAATGATATTTTCTGATTCAAATGTACTTCGATTTAAATGTGATGTTTAGTTGCAGATCCAAGTAGCAGTGTTTGATACTTGCCACTCAATCGGGAAAAACCATCCAGTAAATACGGACCGAACAGAAAATCAGCAAAGAGAACTGACCAGAGTATACTTTACAGAATTCAGATCATTATATTCGTACGGAAGGCGATATATTGATTACCTTTCCAGATTCTCAAGCAGACAGATAGACAGATATTCAGCTTTATGTCTCTATGGAAACACGACAGGTACCCTTACGAGGGGAGAGTATCAACTCGGCGTTTATAAACCCTCTTTGCAAAGGAGGTAGAAGCATGGTGGGTTAGGTATATACAGTGTTCTTCATTGCAGAGAAAATTGTTGTTTATCTGCCTGTCTCGTATTCATTGAGATAGTTGATGAATTACAAAAATATATCCCGTTCCAGTTACGAATGTTGAAAACAATATCCAATATTCTATGTAGGTCTCACGATTCAAATTTGAAATTGATCCCTACTTTTACATCAGAGCAGCACATCGTTTGGCCTTCAAAGTCCTTGATATAACACACGTACGTAAATGAAAATGTGGAAGATGTCTACTGGAAAAAACACTACTCGGAAAGAACGCGGATATGTAGCAATCCAGTTACAGACGTTGTATATATTATTCAGGTATGTCTCAGATTCAACATCCATGTAATTCATTTAATGATATTTATTTTCTGATATGAATGTACTTTGATTGATATGTGATGTTCTGTTGCAGATCAGAGAAGCAGTATTTGATACTTGCCACTCAATCGGAGAAAAACATCCAGTCCATACGAACTGAACAGAAGATTCACAAAGAGAACTGACCAGTGTATACTTATGGTGACTAGTTATGCTAGAATTAGTCACTCCATAAATTTTTCTCCGAGTTGGATTCCGAAAATATATTTAGCACACATGACATCAGTACAGTAGTTCAGATACCCACATCGAGGTTTTCACCTCTTCTCAATCATAAGGCTCAGCTCATTCAGCTTATAGTTAAACTACTGCTCAGCTTGAAATCAGAATTCATTCAGTCAATTCAGTCAACCCTGGGATACAGTCTGAGAACAGTTCCTTTTGGTGAAATATATTAAGCTTTCAGTACAAATTATATGTTCCCTACCTTGCAAAGATTATGATGGAGTAGTAAACTCTAAAACTAGAGGATTGTTCAACTATATCTTGGTATAGTTGAATCAGGAATTCCATATGGAAATTACATATGATACGCCAATACAACCTAAAAAACAACAAATGTCAAAAATCTAGTGTTTATCCCCAGAATGGAATAAGGACGGAACTATATAACTGTTTCACAAACACTTTAGAGTGAGAGGAGACAAGGATCTGTCCGTACCCTGTTAAGATGACTCTAATGTCAATTTCCATCAAGGGACTTCAGGTATATATTGACAATGATGGAAATAAGGATACGATGATTCTACACAAAAAAAGGGTACTAGGACATTTTCATTTTAGAGCAATGATTTGCATGCTTCAATTCCCATGAAAAATTTTGTTAAAGAAATAGTATATTGAAACACAGAATGGAAATGCTGAGGCATTAGAGGAAAATTGTTATAGATGCCAAATCCGTCTACAGAGTTACTACACAGTGTGTATCCCTTCTGATGGATACACCCTTGAATATTTCCTAATTATGGAGATAGTAATTTCCAGACATGAAGGAGTACAGAAGAGAGACTCAATGACCCTATGGGATTATCGTCAGTGATATATACTGGTCGCCAGATCCTAGCACAAAAAAAATTAATATAGGGATTCTTTTTCTATGGTCCAAATGATTTTTTTTTAGGATTGTTAGAAGTGTTAATGTGTGTGTGTAACAAGTGTAGTAGAAAAAAAATCAAAACAACTATTGAGGTAGAGTCCTATCAATGGTAAAATTTATGAGCTGCTACTACACTAACTTACCAAAGTATAGAGATATGGCAGCTTCAAGAAAGAAGAAATTTGCAAAGGCAGAATGAGGACCTCCATGGGGCCAAACTACCAGAGGTACTGTTTTTTCCTGGCCAGTTTTTGGTCCCACATATATTGCATTGAAGATATCTACAAAATATAATTTTTCCCATAAGAAAATCATGATTGTTCATTTAGTGACTCACTGAAACCATCTCCTTTTGATACCAAATCCAGATATTCATACATGCAATTTTCCAAACAAGGTACAGTTTCTGTGGCAGTGAGTTCATTCCAAGTGATATGGGTTTCATTTCCAGGTTCAGGTAGCTGACCAATGACCAGCTGGTCAGGTTTTAGGAAATTTCTCCTAGTTGCCAAGATCTTATCTTCAAATACATCTAGGATCACTTGACTACCATTTTGGAAAGGCAGTTCTGTTATTGCACCATTATCTTGAAACAAAAACTTATTTTTGCACAATTTGGATTCAGATAAAGAGCACACAAAATTTTGAACAGCACCAAATGAATAAATTAATTTATTGTATTTGCTTCTTTCCTGAAACCCATAATAAACAGGAAGATTCGATTTTTTGCAACAGATCTTAGAGAAATATTAGTTTTAACACAAAACCAGTAAATGGGTAATATTCAAGAATAACTGATTATTTTATTAGGTATGAGTCATTTCAATACATTTCTTCCGTTTTTTCTCAAATTCATCAGAGATTAGGAATTACTCAGATGTATAGATGAAAACTGAGGTTTATAAGTATAATTTGAATAAATTAGGGTTGATTATTTGATAAGGATTTATTAATTTGGTTAATATATTGTCATGAATTCCTTAGACTATAGTTGCAATATCTTTTTGTCATCTGTTGAAAACTAATATCATGTCTTTTCCAAACAATCTTTTTAATCAAGAGTAAAGGATCTGGAACACCCAGTACATTATATTTCAGAATACCCATAGCTTGAATGATTGATTCTTTTCCTTTTTTTCCAGTTTTTAAATTTGATTGCATTATTTTTCTATTCTATTAGTTGTTAATCAAGAAAATGTATATAAAGAAGTCCTCAAATGTTGCATACAATCTTACCTATATTTATGACATAGCTATTCAATGTGTACTTTTGGTTTGTATTCACCAACAGCCTGTTATGACTAGCCCAAGGGCGTTTTAAAAAACCTGTATTGTAGAGACCAAAAAAGGGTTTACCACCCTCAATTGAAATTTCAGTTTCAACCATGTCCACAACTACTTTTCCAACAGACTAAAACCATGAAAAAATCACATTATTCAATATAAAGTAAGTCTAAGAAATATTACATTTGCTGTCAGAGGAAGTTCTGTTTTCACCAGTTGCATGCAACTGGCATGGGGACCCCCAGTTTTCCTCTGTAACCAGATAATTGAACCTCCATCAGGTGTGAATATAGGAGATTTCAATGCCACTCCTACCAAAGGCAATTCAACTGCAAAATATCCTGTATGAACTCTGATATTAACAAAAAAAAATCAAACTCACAATAAGTGCCTTCAAAGTCTAGTGTAAATACTGTACTGGGCCTGTTTGAGCAGTAAATAAGCCCCAGTTTTCGAGGCTCCAAATTGTATGCTACACCAATAATATAAGACCCATCTGGTGAATATTTGATCTGAGCTATAAAAACACCATCAGGTACACCTTTCAAGACTTCAACCATATCATTTTCAACATTGTATTCAGCTATGACTGATAGCTTTTTGCCAACCAGTTGTTCTCCCCAGTCTTGCTCAAATGTATACTCCTCTCCTATTAGTTTTTCTTCATCACCACTTCCTCCTTCTTTTTCTTTGTCAGAAGCAGGAGCTTTACGTTTGTAAAATGGTTCAGATTTCTTGGATTTTTTTTCAGCCACATAGAGGATTTTTTTCTCATCTGGTGACCACTCAAATGATGTAAATTCAACTATAAATATATATATTACTTGCATGCACTAATCCAAAAAAATTAGATACCAAATTACCATCAGAATATACTGATCCATGTAGGTCTAAAGCACCCAGATCAACTGTTCTTATGTTGTTGTTCTCTTGCCACACTTCTAGATATTGTTTGCTATCTATGTCTCTAAGTACAGCTCTGAATTTTTCGCTGGGAGAGTTTCTTGAAAGAACTCTGAAACACAATTGGCTAGAGCACAAGAAATTGAACAGCTTTTTGTCTTACTCAGTACTAACATCTACAGGAGATGTTTCTGCCAACTTAATCAAATCCTTAGTGAAGAATTCTCGCATGAACTTGGAAGTTTTACCTCTTTCCAAGTTTCTCTGGGACCATAAACTACTTATGATTCCATCGGATCTTATCCTTCCCCCTGTGATAGCTGGAATTTGGGCAAGGGTTTTATAGGTTTTCACGAATTTGTCTACCTACGAGAGAAATGTGCAAATTATGATAACGACAGCATGATTTCCTGAATTAACTCACTTTCGGAGACATATTTGTTTGGTCATTAGTGCCTTCTGGAACAATAATAAAAAATAAAATATATTCTTTCTAAAATTAAAAAAAGGGAAATAAAACAGGGTTAAAGTCTTTCCTTAGTTTCCTTCCTTCTTGCCGCCTAAACTCTTAGATCCTTGTAGTTTGAAAACTGTCGACTTATGGATGTGGGCTGTAGTGGAAATGGTGGGATTGGAATAACGACTAACGACATGCGAATATCATTATCAGTAGGAAGAAGAAGAAAAAGACAAGTGACAAACAATTTTCTAATTTAGGGATTTTTTGCAAATCGCAGATCGCTGAGATTGGCATTTCTGAATCTGAATTCTGAATTTGCGAACCAAAAAAGAAATGTCGTCATGAAGTTACACATGTCGATATTTTCGCCCAAATACGACATTAATTACAAGAAAATCCTGTGATAATTAAATCTATACATCTGTTTTAGTTGGCGAAGTGTTCTCACCGTTTTATACATCAAGTGTCAGTGCAAAAACCTTGTGGTTACCTGAAAAATTCTGTTACACCCCTTGTCTTGTCTAAAGGTTGTCAAGAATTGATTTTGAGTTTGAGTCATTGAAAACCGCAAGTCTTAAGAAAATGTTCTTGATGATCAGTAAACAACAAGATATTAGATGAGAATTGCTAGATCTAAGTGAGTATTAGGTGGTTTTTCTGGCTGTATGCCAAGGAATATCACACCCACTTAACATCCTGAACACCTGCTAATAAAATCAATTACCAATTTGTTTACTGCTCTCAACACTGTTTATGTAAATACTTGTGAACTATGACCTCAGTTTATGCAATATTTGATCAAAAACTTCCAGGTTTGTTGATATCAAATTGTGGATCTGATCTGACACTGAATAAAGAGATATAAGCCTTCAGAATAGGATTCTATTTCTGTTGTTGAAATATTTGAGCTTTCAGCTGATTTATTTTTAATTGAATTGGATACCCATTACCCAGTCTATCACCTTCTAAGTACTCTCCTTCTAGTGGTAGTACACTTGACTAATTATGTATACTTACCATTACCCTAAAAGGCTAAGAATTTGAAATCTGAGAGACTGGAAGTAAGTGAAAAATGTTAAGAGCTTTCTTATAGATGTGTTTTTGTATGTTCAGCTAATAAATTGACAATGTTTGTGTAAACTGTTCTGCTTCTTTGAATTTCTTGTGATATTTTGGGATTCTGTCTCATAGTCTCAAAATGAAATAGTCTAGATTCAGGATTCAGTAGGTTTCTATGGACATTATAATATCATTCTGCAAGTAATAGGTACATAATCTAAAGTAAATTAATGGGACTAAGAAAGTTTATAAATTCATCTAAGCTGCAAGTTGAATCAACAATTATTGAGAAAGTTGTAAAGTAATGATTATCATCTGGTTTGTATCCTCCTATGCTACAGTACTCACTTTGATTGTACTTAATACTCAACTGCATGTCTGTAACATTTTTGAAATCAGAGTACAACTGAATTATTTATAGGTATTGTATATTTATGTATTCTTCACAACCTTTTCAAAACAATTCTATTGTAATCTTGGAAGTTGAACAGTTTCATAGAAACAATACCATAAATAGCTATATTCAATATTGTTAATATTGGAGAAGGTTGTGGCCCCTAATTAAAAGTCATAACATGTTTTTATGGAATACACAATTCATAAAAAATAGTTTGAGCCTCATTTTGAGCATATTATTGCAGTTGATTTGAAATACCTACTAATCTTCATGTATAAATTTTCCTGATTTTTCCTGACATACTAATAGGTTTTAATTGAAAGTAAGAACTTTTTTTTGAAAGGCTAACTATAAGATGGTCACAATTTGACATCAATCATTGCTTTCATCCAGGTTTTTGATATTGCTGGGTGAAATTTTGTTAATTGTGTGTCTGTATCACTTGTGTGTGTGTTGTTGTTGTCTTATGTTTGTTGTTAGGTGCATTGTTGGTTGTGTCTCGCCATGGATGGTGTTGGAGGGCGGAGAAGACTTGCCACTAAAACTGCTGCTGAAGATCAGGCTCTTGATCAGATTGCAAAAGAGGTGAGTCATTGAAACTCCTCAAAATCACTGATATCATGTACAAAAATTCAGCAAAAAAGTTGATATCTTAAGAAAAATATTTAACAGGATTCATAGAAAAGAAGTGGAAAAAGTAGGTCTGAATTGAAAAATAACTAATAAGTACACTAGGCCAAGCACTTAGTGCAATCATTTTCATAGAAACATTTATTCAAACCAACATATCCAGAGCTCATATCACTTCTCTCAATTGAATCTCAGAATAACCATTACAAATACAATGTGTTCAAGATATGAAGATGGTTAAATTTGAGAATAGTTGCACATTTTCAAGCCTAACAATATGCCACTCAGAAAGTTTTAAAATTACTAGTAGTTCTGGAGATATGCCTAAAAAACGGAATTTGCCGATTCCCTTTTATTATTTTTTTTATGTTATTTAAAGAGATATAGGAAAACAAAAGACACTTTCTCATTGCCACTTTTCAAGCTCAATTAACAGATTAGAGTTGAGAGATTTTCAATATGGCGTTTTTTTTTACAGGCTACATAAACAAATTAAGATGATGATGGTTTCTCTGAAATGAAACCTCCTATGGATAATCTTCAAATGCTGTTTTATAGAGCTTAAGAAGTCTCTTGTTTTCCTATTACTCTTTAAATAACGCCAGAAAAAGAAGAGAAAATGAAATAAATTTCGGTTTTTTAGGCATATCTCCAGAACTACTACTGTCTAAGAAGTGTGCTGATTTGTTTCTCAGATTTTTCTGTACTGAAATCAAATCATTCACTTATCTGCTGATCAAGACTCATTTAGAGATTTTTTTATTATCAAAAAGCCCATCTATTTTCTGTTTGAACTATAACTTATTTCTTACTGAATACAAAGCAGTAGTTGACAAAAGGATGTGAGGCGTCTATTACAGCGACGTCTAGGCGTCGCAAAGGAGAATGTCAACTCCACTGGAAACATTATTCATTCCTCCACCACCAGAAATCGTTTGAACAAAATGCCATTAAAATAAAACTATCCCAACTGGAGAAAGTGTAACATATTTAACAGATACAGCTTCATTCTTGTCAAAAATGTTTCTGAATAATCACTTTAATTTTTAAAGAGCTTAATTTTGCTGTATTTTACTGTTTTCTAAGCCGTGTTTTAGGAAACGTTTTTGATCTTTTATAAGTATCTTGGATGAGCAGTTTTATGGAATAAAATCACTCAGCTTGTATATTCAATTTGAAAATTAATGTGGTTGAAATATTTGGCCGAGTTTAGGTGCTGGAGTTCCCGATACAAATTTAGATTCTCGCATAGTTTACTTGGTCTCTTTATTTTTTGTCGCTGGATTGCTATGGATCTTCACCTACATTCTATACGAATTCAGCGCCTATCAATTAATGTAGAAATGTCTCTTCCATTGTCTGATATTTATTACAACTTTTATTGCATCATATGGATGCATTTGTATCTGGCAACTAGAAATTTCTGTCTCATTTTTTTCGATCCTTTAAGAATAATGTGAAAATATATAGTAATTTTCCTAACAAGTGCGCAAAGTGTTACTTTTTCGAACACAAATACAGTTAGGCGAACGACGCGGAGCGGAGTTCGAATAAGTTTTTGCGTGCGGAAAAGACACTTTGCGCACGTGTTAGGAACAACGTTTTTCCTTCGAGCTTCATCAGATAAAAAGGAAAATAAAAAAAAATTATAACTTATCGAAAAATGTAACTATACAACAATCATATATAACAATAATTATTTTTTTCTACATTCATGCAAAAAGCAGAACTTTATTGAAATATATTTAGTGGAAAAAGAAGTTCTTTATTGCACTTAGTGCAATAAAGTTTTTATTGCACTCATCTGTCATTCTACTTCAACATGCTGTCCTCATGACAAACATTTTTTATATGACAACTGTGGTTATTGAAACGTCAGTCAAAAATTAAGTTGCGTTTTTCATTTTCCAACACCTAGTACCGTACCTCAATAGATCATTGTTCGCTTTTTGCATGAACGTAGAAAAAATGTTGTATGCAATTGGTGCAAAAATTGTTTATTGCACTTGTTGCATAAATAACATGCATAAATAACATTACAAATATTTAAAAATAATTACGATAAAATTATAAAAATATTGCTCAGATCTTTTGGTTACCACAATTGTGAAATTATGAATAAGAGTAAAAATCAGATAGGGACAAGCAAATGAATGCATTTTATTTTCTAACTCAAAAACCGTTCGCCGGACGAAAAAAAGACAAGAGACCATTTTTATGAGAAGATAGAGGATAATGACAAAAATAATACATTTGGAAAAAAGACAGTGGCGTATCATTATTTTGATGAAAAATATGACAGGGTATGTTAACAGAGACGCCACTGATGGAAATTAAGAAATCCTTCATTATGGAAAAAATGTATTTCTATTCATACTCGGCATGTACCAAAATTGAAGAAAAAAGCCAGAGCGGTTCCAGAGATATTGGGGAATAACTGATTTTTTTGTTAAATTTCAACATCCTGTATCTCAGAAACGAAGCTGTTACGGACCTATGTTCACATGAAGAGTTTTTCTTAAAATCATCCAAGGATTATCGCCCTTAGGATCAGCATTCAATTATGAAACACCCTGTATAAACATGTGTCCTAACTTGCTTCATTTTCGAGATACAGGGTATTAATATTTCCATGAAAAATATTTCTTCTATTCATTTCTCAATTGTCTTTTTATCAATTTCAATAAAACGTTGTGGTTTTGTTAATGGTAATATGGAGCTTCTCCTACTGCAATTAGATTCGAAATAATATTTCCAGTGGCGTCACAGTGGGTAAAGGACCCCGCACTTTCCTTATGGAAAATGGCTTTCGGTTAAATTCCCTGAATTTTTGGTATGATGTAGATTTTGGCTTCCTAAGCAAAAGTGTCCATGGGCACAAGGAAATCGGTTGACTAGTTTTCGAGATACAGG